CTCCAGCTGACTCCTTGATTCCCTTGAAGATCAGGTTTTTTCGCTTGGAGTTCGCTTCCAAATGCTCCATTTTATCCGTTATGGCTATTAGACTCTCGCAAGTTTTGTAGACATCATCCCTTGTTTCCTTGGTTTGTATTTTCTGTTCACCCATGGCTGCTTTAATCACATCCACATCTCGCTGGGTAAACTGCAAACTCGATTTTATCTCCTGTATTTCTCTGGTCATGTCATCGAGTCTCTTGTTATTTGTCTCCATAAGTAGTTGCACAAAACCTTTGAAGTTATCTTGTTGTTGGTTCAACAGTGCAGTGTACATCTGCTTTTGCTGACTCAACATCTCTGTTACTTGCGCCGCTGAAATATAATCCTCTTCTGCTTCAACCTCCTCATTCGCATCTGATTTATTAGCTCTTTTCCCTCTTGGATGCATTTTAATAGTTGTAGAATTTGTTCAAAGACTTGAAAATGTAGAAGATGTGAAAAATCGTAGAACAGACAAGAGGAGCAGTAAAGACGTCTGCTCTCGCTTGCAACCCGGAAGTCCACCGGATTGCTCCTGTCAGCTCAGAGAATTACTTTTTTCTTTATTGCTAAAATGAAAAATGCTATTTCATACTATGGCAGGACAAATTTCATATAGATGAATAGATGGATTGATGAACGGACACAAAAAGATGGCGACTTTCAGCATCTTTCTTTGATGCAAGTTAAGTATGACAACTGTGTGAGTAACAGAGAAATGATCTGGGTGATGGTGTAAATGTGTACAGTATGTGGAGACTGTGTTTTCCTGAGCTTTCTTCTGTTATTTGCACCTTTAAAGTTTTTTTGGGGAGTTTTTCCCTTATCTGATTAGAGGGTTTAAGGACAGACTGGAAAGCCCCTTGCGGCAAATGAGCAATTTGATCTATTGGGCTATACAAATAAAATTTGGCTTGACTTTGTGTATGCGTGTGCGCATTTTACCTGCAGAATAATCATGTCAGGCCTGTACTGTTTGCGAAGCCCGATGTCATACATTAAAAATTTCAGCATGTTGAAGGCGTCCTCTTCCCTCATGTGTAACAGCAGCACTCCAGCAATGAAGGACAGGCCCTGGCAGTAGCCCACCTACGATAACAACAATAAAAAACTTGACATCTACACAGACAGGGAAGGAGTAAAGAAGCTTAAGACTGAAATACACTTGACAGATGAATTTCGTCCATGAAGACAAGGAGAGAGACACCCAAAATAGAAAATGCGAGAGGATGAAAACAGGAAAGAAAGCAAGACAGAAGAATTGAGTGATACCTCAGGGTCTAGCAGTGAGTAAGCCTTCAGTATGTTATACAGAGACAGCTGTCCTGCACCCAGCTGGACTTGGAAATATGGATGAGTGGGAAAAGTGCGACCTGGGGAGGAAGAAGAGTGGGACATTATCTATGATGCAAAACATCTGCACTGTTAATATTTCATATGAAATACAATGTCAAACAAAGCATCTGAGATCACACTGTGACACCTAAAAACAGTAGCATGCTGTTAATACATCTGATATACTTGTATTGTAGTGACGGTCTTGAACAGAATCTGAGAATACAGCGACACATAAGAGACCAAATCCTTTGGGTGTGTACACGTGTTTGAATGAAACTGAGCTGAACTTCGCCCGAGGATGCAAGACTTCACACTTTGCTTGTTGATGGTAAAACAGGGAATCAACGAACAAGCATGTGTCAACCCATTCCAAGTTGTCATGCTTACAAATATGTTCAAGAAAACACACACACAAATGCATCTTTACACAAAGACCTTCCATCAGAAGATTAACATGTAAGGGTGGATGCAACATATACCTTTCAAAAATGACAACATAATGAGGACGTGGAATCTGTAAAAGAGTACTCTTAGTGCGGATGTGCTGGTAACTGGTAGGTGGGTGTGTTTTGGGCCCGAGGAGTCCTCGACTTACAGTGTGTGACAGTGAGGCTTTGGAGACAATGACCGTATGAGTGTGTATGCAAGGAATGTGCTGTGGGGCACCTGAAGTAAAGTGAGTGTGTGTGTCCTGCTTTTAACGTACAGAACTTAATAAGCGTATAATCTAAACCTTCACGTACACTCCGTGCTTTTGCATGTTTACGTGAGGTAGCCGGCTATGACCTGCCATGCGTCTACTGTACCTGCAAAGCTCTGTGCTGCTTGAGTGTCATAAACACTGTGTACTTTTATGCTACAGCACATAACACCTTCATACCGGTCCATGTTAGTGAACCGTTGCTGTGTATGCCGTTACCACTGTCCACACCCTGTCTGATGCAGATTGAATAACACAATAGGCAGATGAAAGACACAGAGATAACAACAAAAATGCAGAAGGTTAAAAAGCAGAAGGTTGAGTGTTACAAGGGGTGTTATATATGCGGGTGTTATATGGGTGGGGTTTAAGCACCATGTGTGGTGAAAGTGTTAAAATGCGAGTTGAGAAACCTACATTACTCTGGCTTCTGCAGGGATCACCAAATTAATTTAATACTTTTTAATTCCACAGAGATGTGAATTAGCTTTTTAACAGTTGTGGCAGTCACCAGCAGGGACAATAAAGCCTACAATTATTTATTGATCACATGAATTTATTGACATTTATATAACTTTTCTGTCAGCACTCCCTGGCTGCACTGTAACAAAGATTTTTAGTAACACAATCAGTTAATGTGACATACTCAGATTTAAGAAACAAACATGGCTGTGGATGGATCAACTCTGAAATGCAACTGTCTGGCACACACACAGTCGTGTCTTTCTATAGCTGGGAGGACAATCACTGACATAATGCATTCACTAACCCTTCACCCTAACCTCTGAACGCCCTCTGAAGTTATGAGGACCAGCTAAAATGTCCCCACAAACTAAACTTACTACACATAGTGTAATAAAGACTGACACACATGCACAGACGCACACAAGCAAAAGGAAAATTTGTGTTTATATCTAACGTGTGTAAGAGAATATGAATGTTTTTTCTGTGTGTGTGTGTGTGTGTGTGTGTGTGTGTGTGTGCACATTACCCAGGTCTATGAGGATGGCGTGTTGCTGCGAGGTGAGCTGTTTCAGCAGCTCTTTGTACGGAGTGTCATTGACAGGGGGTCGGGATGGGACCGTCTGCCTGAGAAGGTACTGTTCAGATAGAAACTTCCAGATCTCGCCTCGATGCTGCCTTGGGACGCCTGTCGGAGATGACAGAGATGAATAAGATCACGGGTGGGATACAGCAGTGTAAAGGTGGCAAGCCGTGTTATGTAACATGCTAGAACAGACAGCTGTGTGCCTCTAATACTCAAATCACAAGGCGGTCTTGAAAATATGGTGAATTTGGGGCAGTTGAGACAACTCAGTGGAGCCTTGAATGTAAAAATACCTCATGTAATCAGTTTGACTGAGTGCCAGACAGAGAGAAGTGTTTGTTACCCCCCCAAAAGTGTTTCTAAATATTGAGGGAATACAATGTATGTTTAAGGCCGAATGCAGAAGAGGCAACCTTCCTGTCCTCTGTGCAGAACATGGTGATACTACAAAATGGACAGAGCAGAAAGCCTAGACAATGACTGCTGGACACTGGGGGTGAAGTTGTTAAATACAAACTTTACTGTGCTCATAAACAATGGGTTTAAATCATTTCAAAAGAAATCAAGCTGTTCCTTGTTGCTGTATTTGGGAAAATACTGATTTTTTTGTTTTGGAGCTCTATACATTAAGCTCTGGTTAATATTAGCAAATACCTACTGAAAACGAACAAACACTCAAAGAAGCACCAATATATGTATTTGTGGAGCCAAATATGTACCTTGTGCAACTGCAGCATGTATAGTCTCTGTATCAAATTTGACCCTTGCTCTCCCAGGAGTTCCCAGCATCTTTTCCCACACCAGAGTGACCTCTTTCAGACATGGAGTGATTTCCTCATAGTCCAGCTTCAGGCGCCTGTTCTTCAGGTCACTCTCTGAGGCTACAATCATAAAAACATAGGCAATACAGGTCAAATGTGACAGCACCAACTCCCTTTAACTCTGTACTGTTATGTGTGTTCGTTGCAGAACCTTGGTGGGGAGACGCTGATGTGCCATTGGTGTAAACCTGGCGAGAGTTCCTGAGAGCTGAGCAAACCTGCTCAGATGCCAGTGTGTTGCTTTCATCGACATGCATAAGGCCCTGCACATTTTATGCTGTATTCTCAGTTTGGTTTTGCACCAACAACATGTGGCAGACACCAACCACTGCACTGGCAAACTTTTACACATTACTAAATACCTACCTTCACATGGTCTTTGATGTGGCAAGCTAGCTGGTTAAAACAATGACAACAGTGTAGAAGAGAAAATGGAAACTGTGACTGCAGGTTTAAAGCCAGACCCCATTCAATAACCACCTCTGCTAAGGTTAGATGGTTTTGTGAAAGAAAATCTTCCTTTTTGAATAACAGAGAATTTTACACAGGCCACACAAGATGTACTTCGATTGAGGCTGTCGCTGTCAACACTTGTGACACTGATGAGAAAAAGATGCTCATATGATTGTTCAGACTCTGGCGATGAATTGTTGAATCGATAAAATATAACATAAAAGCAGAAAGTCTTTGGAAATTTTTATTCATTCATTCATTTTCTATCTCAGAAGGAACACAGGGCCACGGCTCCGTGTCTGTCTGACCTTCCACTGGGGCTGGAAATCTCAGTGCATATAGCGTGTCTACTGTATGACACCAGTTTACATTAGGTGCAGTCACACTTTAATTATGAAGTTTGTACATGACTCACAATCAGAGATTAAATCAGGGAATGTCAGATATTATTTTCATTGATAACTGGGGACTTATTATAACACCCCTCCCACCCCACCCCATGCTGTGACATAAAGAGATTTTGCATAATCGAATGTGTGTGGGAAACCCTGGCCCTGGACTTTCAGATAAACAGAGCCTACAAACTAAACAGAAATAAAAACTGTGAATTCCGTTGCATGTTGACACCAGCGATCAAAGAAGGTGAGGGCACACCCAGCTCCCCTCATCTGTTCCTCTCTTTTTGACAACACCCTTCCTTTACCCCCTCCTCGAATCTCTTCACCCACAGCTCATCTCTTCTGTTTTCTCTTTACTCCCAGCACAACTTTTTCTACTCATTCAATCCCACGTTTGTCTTGTCTGTCAGCCACATTCTCCCCTCTCCCTTTTCTTCCTTCCCTACCCCTTGTAGGCTGACCCTCCCCCCTTCCGCTCATGTGCGGTGTCCACCCAGTGACCAGCTGCAACTTGGTAGAGCTGGACTGAGTGACATCATCACTGTGGGAGAGGATGGAGACAACAGGCCACTTCCAGTTCAAACCTGCACTGTTACCTTCCAGGAAACAGAAAAAAAACTTCCAGGAAACAGGAGAAAGGATGAGTGCAATTTAACTGATTTTTTGTGTTTTGGATAGAACTCACACTAAATCCCAGAATAACAATATTTTAGAACAACTTGTAACAAGAGATATTGAGAACATCTCTAGGGGTCTGAAGGCTTTTTACAAAGTGTTGTATACCAAGGCCTCAGCAATCAAAGACACAAAAGTAGTGGGAGTGACCTGGAAGGCATATCCTGGATAATAAAGGAAGAAAACTTGGATGGAGCATATAACTGACACACCCAGCACAAGAATAGCTGTTGTTGAAGAGACTGTGGTTCTGCTGTCTGTCTTATCAGCTGTCTGGAGCAGGCAGAGTCTAGTCCACGAGGACTTGCGCATTGGCTGTAGCCCAGCTGGTCTCATCTCACCACTCTCCAATCTCCCCTTGCCTCCACTCTCCATTTCTCTTCCTTTCTGTTGCCGGAACACCCCGCCCTCAATAACACACAACAGGATAGGATACCCCACCCTGGAGCTCACAGAGACACACACACAGTAATGGAGACACATACTTTCACAGTTGACCCATAATCCAGGCAACAAACAGACAAACCCAGGCAAATAAAGAACTGAAAGGTGGAGCGCACCAGTGGGAGGAATAAAACTCCGCTAAACTACAGATGAGCAAGAAAACCACCACACACTGGAGAATGTGTATGTTGTGTGTAATGTGAGTGCAACAAATGTATGTCCCCATGTACAAGACTGAACAGAGTGAGGTCACCAGTTTTATTTTCTTAAACCTATAATGACCCACATTAGGGCTGGGCGATAAAATGATAACGATAATTATTATGATAAAAATCTCATCAATAACGATGATAAACTAAAGCCTAATTTTTGACTGATGAAAGTGTCTGTTCTGCATCTGGACAACTCACTTTACGATCATCCTGTCAGACATAGTGGACACGTGTAGGGCCAAAACAAGGAAAACATACATGCAGCTGGGAATATAAATATAACCAGCAATGAAGAAGATGAATGCATGGGACGATTAGATTGTGGAGAAGTTCCACAAAATCACTACTTTAGAAGGGGATCAGATTTTTGTAGCTAGATAAAAAAACAAAGCAACACCTACCATAAAATATGCAGCAGCCTGTTCTGACAAAGCCAGGAAACAATGAAACAGCAAACATTTACCCCGTATGAAAAGGTAACATTTCTGTCCCAGTACACAGAAAGATAGTCTGCTCCCAAACTGCAGCACTGGCTGGTGAGCGTGCTAATATTAAACCTCATAACGAGTTCAAACTCAGCAGAAATAACACCGGTCGCCTTTTCATTTCTCTTATTCATGAGAAAAGTCATGAGGGCACAGCAAGTGCAATTTCATATTTCAAGGCAAAACAAGTGTCATGATAATGATTTAGAAACTGATGATTGCTTAGATGTATAAACTTGTGATTCATCTCAGAATCATTCCAAACCGGAACATGCTGCTTGGTATCCTGTGGAGTTTTTCTGTAAACGCAATGTTGGGCAGTACTCACCATAAAACACTATGTAAAACATGTTGAATGTGTCTCCACCATTAATGGTGTCTATGCCTGTAGGGCATTAGTGGTCAATATGAAAAAATATATCATGATAATATTTTTGGCCATGTTGCCAGTGGTAATGTTAATTTTGACACCTGAATCTGATTTTGTTTGTTTTAGTGTTTGATTTTTGTTAGATTCAGTCAATAAAAACGAAATACATTTTTATCTAGTTTGTCATTTTTATCTTGCAATTTTAATTGCATTTCATTCATTAATGAAAAACATAAAACATTTCATCATAGTTCCCGTTATCAAATGTTACTTTTATTTAGTTTTCATCTTTAAAAATTGGTTGTCAACCAGTATTTTTCGGAATAGTTTTTGCTGATTAAATTAACACAGCCTAACCACCCTCTCTCGGTCCACACCCAGCTGTACATGCAATCACTTCTCTGTGTTTCATGTGTACAAATTAATGGTTTGTATACAGTACATTATGTGCAGGTGGTTAGGGGTGTGGTGCATAGTTAGGTGTGTGTTGATATCATGCCAACTGGGTCAGAAAAGAGGTGATACACACACCCTAAGACATGCCTACCAGCAGCAACAAGCACGCACAGATCTTTACTTTACATGACCTGCTCACTCTATGTGGATATAAATACAGAAAGAAAGAAAAGCAGGTGTGCACTCAAGGGCCTAACCTGTTTGCATGGACACATCTGGAAAGGCAAACTGCCAGAGATTAAGTTAAAGAAGGATTTGTTTGTCTTGCTACTGAAATAAGCTGGAGGAACCACCTCATCATGTTATACAAGAACATTACCAAGTCAACAGTGCTAATGCTGATCAATAAAACAACGCTGGCTGTTGTTTGTCCAACTCACCCTGTAGCTTCTGGTTCTCCCTCTCCATCCTCTGCAGCAGGATTTGCTGCAGAATGGCCTTCCTCCACAGCTCCCTCAGCTCCTTTTTGCTCCTTTTTGTCCACTCCTCAGGCACCGTCCTCATACATGAGTCTACAGTTCTTCCACCGTCCACCTGGCTCATACACACTCGACCCCCCTCTAGACCAGGCTCTCCCCGCTCTGAAAGACATATCAAATATGTTAGATAAGATCAGATAATCGTTAACAATTATATGTGCAATGTGCAGCTGAGCAAAATACATACTGTAGATGGAAATAAAAAATAGTGAGGGGGTAGTTATTTTCTCTTAGTTTGCCAATAATTTACAGTAAAATGCTTTGGGCCTAAATACAGTCTTAAATCTCCATTTTTGACAGATTCAAATCATCTATGATGAAATAAAATGAGTAAATCCTCACATTTGTGAAGCTGTAGCCACCAAATGTAAATAGTTTTATCTCATCACTTAGGCACTTACTGCATTAAGTAAAATACAGCTTCACAAATGTGATGACTCATTTCTGTCAACTAACTGAATAATCAGTCTTTTAGTAGGTTAAAGGTCTTAGTCTGGATTCAAATCCACAATTTTGTGGCTACAGGGTACGTGTCATAACACACTGGCACCAAAGGAACAAGAGAAGATTATGAGGATGGAAGGAAGTACAATGATGTGATATTCAGTGTGATATTCTTGAGTTGTCCACCAGTATTTTAGCTGTGCTTTACTATATACAGTATGTATGAACAAAATAGAGTGAAAAACAGGCAAAATGCAAAACTCAGTGGAAGCAAGTGAAACCATCATCTGAAAAGAGGCTGCCTGACCTCCTTTGTCCCTGTCAATCCCTTAAACACTCATGCAAAATTTAAAAAAAAGAAGCTAAACATAGATATATTTGTCACAGTTGGGTGCAATGTAAACACGCACACACACAAAGCATGTTTGTGTGACTCTACCCCAAAGTACAGGGTGGATCCCAAACCTCAAAATACCCTGTGTTATTTACAGGCAAGACATGGTCTAACAGCTATCCAGATGCACTTGTTTCACTTTTATCGTTTGTAGAACAACACGACTAAAGAGGATGCACAGACCTTTGCTTGACTTGGGTATGTAAATGTGATGCTCATCTTTCCAAAGACCCTTCAGAGGAAAATTACAAACATTTAAGATATGTTCATGTTTCTGTAGTTGTGTGGACACATGTCCCTAGCCCCTCACCCTCACCTCATAGCTACTAAATGCTTTAACCTAACCCTAAACCTTAATTCTACCTTAAAACCAAGTCTTAAACAGCCCTTTGACGTTGTGAGGACCGGCTGTAATGTCCTAACAATCATACTAACAGATGCAAACAGGCACACAATGACAACAGTGTTCTTTGTGCCAGATGAGGTTAACATTTATGTGTGCCTTTGTGTCTGTCAGGGGAGACTTTCCAAAAACGGAGAGTCACTATACAAACATGGCTCTAGCATGGCTCTAGAGTTATAAGAGACGTGACGACAAACCAGACACACACAAAGACAGTGATGTCAGTTAGATATTTGTTAGATAAACACAGACTGCTACACTGCTTCAATAGAACACTGCTGAAGAGTTCGCTTCTGGGTGTGAAAAATGCATCCACGCATCCACCGGGACACGCGCGCACAAACTTATTCTGTGATTCCTGTGAGAATCCAGACTACACTAGCCCCTTCCCCTAACCTCACCGTAATGGCTACAGTCAAAATATTCTCACACACACACGCCCTCTTGCACAAAGTGTCATGGTCCACTCCCTCAACAAACATACCAACTTGGCCAGCACACATACTTGTATACACACGCACACACGCACACAACATGCAAAGTGGGTCAATAAGACTGGCGCTTTCCCCTGGCGCTGTCTATGTGGACTGTCATCATGACCTTGACACACCACCACCACCCCCTCATATTCGACACACCCATGACCTCATGTATGTAAGCGCACATGTACACACCCAGCTCCACCCAAGTGATCTGCTAAAAGCACCGTTTTTCTTTACGTCACAGCGGTTGACTGTCAAAATAAACTTTAAATGCAGAAAAGGAGAGCTATCTGACCTGCTGTTTACCTTTCATTTGATAAGGACACTTAAGACACAATGACGTGAATAAGACTAACTAATCCCTTGTCAGCAGCACATCCAGTGGAACATTAAAAAGGTCACATCAGTCCAACATTCTGGTTGCACTTAACTCCAAAGACAGAGGGTGAGTAGAGGAGTGAACCAATTAATGGGAATGCTTTCAATGTATTGTAATCCATTAATCCAGCAAAAAATGCTACTTTTTACAGGTTATGATGCTCAATTGATGTTGAGACTGCATAACTGTTTGGCTGTGGTGTATTATTAAAAACACTATATGTAAAATTTGGAATTTTTAGGCATTGGCACCCCTTGGTGGTACCATAACAGATGACACAGTGGCAAAGAGCAAGGCATGGTTTTCTATACGAGACTCTTTCCTGTGGTTGGCCTATTCTGTCATGTTTTGTTCAAGGACTTCATTATTCTGACCAAGCTGCCTTTGTAGGTGTAGCTAAAATTACAGTACGATAAAGATAATATTATTATCGATGTCGTGTTTCCGTCATTTCACTCAGTTCCCAGGACAAAATCACAACTGCAGCTACACAACTCAATCCTATAAAAAGGAAAATATTTAACAATGAGGCAGATTAGAAGTCCAGACAACACCAGCATTGTGGGACTTGTATCAAACCAGTCCACCCCTATTATTTTTGGCATGGCTTGCATCACTGCAGGTGGATCCACCACCCTGTGACCTGTGTACCCCTGTTTACTGTTCAGGGTCAATGCCGGCTGACATTTCAGTGTGATTTTTGGTTTCTGATTCTTTATTTCACTGGGCTGATCATCAGTTCTCCACCCAGGTGATGGTACTTGCTATAACAAAAAAAAAAAAAATCCAAGGCAGCAGTGGAAATATGTGATACCATTATGTTTAAGACTTTCTGTCAATCATTCACACTTTGCCACATTTGAACAAAGACCATCAAAGAACATACATCACATAATGTGATGACACAAACCCATCTCCTGTAAAATAGTATATGAACATGCATGTGTATAATGAAGTCTAATTAATTAATTAATGGAAGTAAAACATTGATTAGAACTAATTAAATCTAATCAATGTATTACTTCCATTCTTTAACTTAAAAAAATACACACACACACACACACACAACTGTATATTTGTGTGCGAGTGTTTGTTGTTTATACAGGTGTTAGAGGAGTTACAGTGTGAGCAACCCAACTGTCAACACGTTTGTTATGCAGGCACACATAATACACAAAATTATCAAAACACAGGATCTGAAGACATGTTAGCACAAGCACGATTCCCATGTCTGCACAGGAAAACACACACACGCCCCACACACCCTTGCTTTCGCCACTTACCGTGTCCCTACATAGACTTACATTCATTTCCAAAAGACTTACCATAATCTTAACCAGAACCACTACTTGCCTAACACTTAACCCTTAATCTAACACGTAACTAAAGCCGACACTTGCTCTAACCTTATACTCCACTGTTTTTGTAAAATTTGACAAATTAGTCATGGGGCCCAACTTCCGGTCCCCACGAAGCAGTGTGCTCTCACTGTTCCATCCCCACAAGTCTATATAAACAAGGCCATGCACATGCTCTTGTTTAACATGTACTCAGATAAGACTAATGACTGATAGTTCAAAGTTAACTGAGGTTAAATATTTCACTATATGTAAAAACACAATTTTTACTGTATCACTGGCACATCTGCAGTAGTACTATAGACAAGGCTGTCAATCTCCAAGGAGAATTACTTTAATTATTCTTGCTTGACCAAGGCTTTCAGCTTTTCCCAGAACTAAGGAATATACAGTGCTTTATAAAAAAAAAAAACGTTGAAATCTTTGACAAGAATTTCCGAATACTGGTCCACAAAGCAGCCAATACTGGTTTGTTTGACACAGTAAAACCCACGGTACTCTGCATTATAAACCCAAGTACTTGAAAAGACATGACAATCAGTATATCAAGAATCACCTGAAAAGTTAGGAATAAAGAGGTGGCGGGGGGGGTAGCCAAATCAAGTTCCTACAGAAGAGAAAGAGCTGTGGATGGTAAAGTGATCTATTCTCCCTCCCTTCCTCTGTTCCAAAAAGACAACATGTACTATCACATTAAGTGAAAGAGTGAAGCAGAGTGGAAGAGCTCTGTCACTGCACAGATGTCTACATGTGTAGACCTTGTAAAGCTGCTTTCAATAACAGGTGATGAAGCAAATGTGCAGTGTCTTGCTTGTGTTCTTTTACTTTGGTTGGATATGAAGCATGCACACTATAAGTACACAAATGTTTACACAAGTGTCTCAACCTGGACCAGCTTTTACCTTAGAAAAGCACACATTGAACTTTACAACTGGAGCATGCACGGTAATCCGAGTGTGAAGATTTCCCATGTCAAAGCTCTTACATGCACGTATGCACGCACACCCAATGCACAGAGCTGGCATTTTTGTTATGAAGTAAGCTAAAAGAAATGTATCATTTTTTCATAACGGTGAGGAAAAAGAATGCGTACATCTCAGTGTGGTGAAGTTATATTGGATAATTATTCACTGTATAATGTTTCCGCTTTGTTTAGAGTGTTACAAATCTCTTCATCGGTACATATACCGTTGTTTACCTATCTAGGAGAAATTCAAATGAATTAATGCTGTTGCGGTTCATCCTGCTGTCCACTTTCATATTCTGGCTTGAACAGGTAAGGTAGGATTTGAGGTACTGTCACTACTGAAAACCTTATTTGTCAAAGAAACATGTTCTGAATACCTAAAATTTGCACTTTATACAGTGCCTTGCGAAAGTATTCGGCCCCCTTGAACTTTGCGACCTTTTGCCACATTTCAGGCTTCAAACATAAAGATATAAAACTGTAATTTTTTGCGAAGAATCAACAACAAGTGGGACACAATCATGAAGTGGAACGAAATTTATTGGATATGTCAAACTTTTTTAACAAATAAAAAACTGAAAAATTGGGCGTGCAAAATTATTCAGCCCCCTTAAGTTAATACTTTGTAGCGCCACCTTTTGCTGCGATTACAGCTGTAAGTCACTTGGGGTATGTCTCTATCAGTTTTGCACATCGAGAGACGGAAATTTTTGCCCATTCCTCCTTGCAAAACAGCTCGAGCTCAGTGAGGTTGGATAGAGAGCGTTTGTGAACAGCAGTTTTCAGTTCTTTCCACAGATTCTCAATTGGATTCAGGTCTGGACTTTGACTTGGCCATTCTAACACCTGGATATGTTTATTTGTGAACCATTCCATTGTAGATTTTGCTTTATGTTTTGGATCATTGTCTTGTTGGAAGACAAATCTCCGTCCCAGTCTCAGGTCTGTTGCAGACTCCATCAGGTTTCCTTCCAAAATGGTCCTGTATTTGGCTCCATCCATCTTCCCATCAATTCTAACCATCTTCCCTGTCCCTGCTGAAGAAAAGCAGGCCCAAACCATGATGCTGCCACCACCATGTTTGACAATGGGGATGGTGTGTTCAGGGTGATGAGCTGTGTTGCTTTTACGCCAAACATAACGTTTTGCATTGTTGCCAAAAAGTTCGATTTTGGTTTCATCTGACCAGAGCACCTTCTTCCACATGTTTGGTGCGTCTCCCAGGTGGCTTGTGGCAAACTTTAAACAACACTTTTTATGGATATCTTTAAGAAATGGCTTTCTTCTTGCCACTCTTCCATAAAGGCCAGATTTGTGCAGTATACGACTGATTGTTGTCCTATGGACAGAGTCTCCCACCTCAGCTGTAGATCTCTGCAGTTCATCCAGAGTGATCATGGGCCTCTTGGCTGCATCTCTGATCAGTCTTCTCCTTGTATGAGCTGAAAGTTTAGAGGGACGGCCAGGTCTTGGTAGATTTGCAGTGGTCTGATACTCCTTCCATTTCAATATTATCACTTGCACAGTGCTCCTTGGGATGTTTAAAGCTTGGAAAATCTTTTTGTATCCAAATCCAGCTTTAAACTTCTCCACAACAGTATCTCGGACCTGCCTGGTGTGTTCCTTGTTCTTCATGATGCTCTCTGCGCTTTAAACGGACCTCTGAGACTATCACAGTGCAGGTGCATTTATACGGAGACTTGATTACACACAGGTGGATTCTATTTATCATCATTAGTCATTTAGGTCAACATTGGATCATTCAGAGATCCTCACTGAACTTCTGGAGAGAGTTTGCTGCACTGAAAGTAAAGGGGCTGAATAATTTTGCACGCCCAATTATTCAGTTTTTTATTTGTTAAAAAAGTTTGAAATATCCAATAAATTTCATTCCACTTCATGATTGTGTCCCACTTGTTGTTGATTCTTCACAAAAAATTACAGTTTTATATCTTTATGTTTGAAGCCTGAAATGTGGCAAAAGGTCGCAAAGTTCAAGGGGGCCGAATACTTTCGCAAGGCACTGTATTTGATGCTGCATCCTTTCTAGGCTAGAGTTCAATGTTACTTATTCAGAATTGTTTAATTCTGGCATGTTTTCCATTCAAAATTGTTTGCTTTTAAAAGAAACACGTTTCCTTGTAACTACCCAGGTTACTGGATCCTTGACCCACACTAAACGGGGCTCCATTCCAGCAAACTGGCCAGGTAACACGTACACAGTTTCTTTAACAATAAATCTGTAACACAGACAGACAATGTTGAATGTCCACTTGCTGCCTTTATGGGAAACCTTGTATGAAGGTAATTAATTTGTGACAGCGTTTGATTTTACCAGTGGCGTCTGTGTTCTTCTGAGGTGTAGCAACCCGTAGGAAGATCTGCTGCCTCCATGAGTGGCGGTGACCGCGCAGAGGACTTTCCCCTACCCCACATTCTGCATTTGGTGTAGACAGAGCCACTACATCACTGAAAACACAAACACACAGAAATGGTTACATGTGCTCTGATAAACAGTCAAGGTAGGTCATGCAATTCTGTTTACACATAAACACACATATACTGTAAATCAAAATTTAGAGACATAAAATCAGTTAAAGGAATCTATGAAACAAAGAATACACATTTTTACTACGCTAAACAAACTAACATGATGTGACTATTTAGTGAATGTGTGTGTACCTGCTCTTTGGTTCAAGACAATCATTCTCTTGGACAGGGGCCAGAAATTGAAATTTCAAAAAATTAGGGACAGAAGAGGAGGAGTGGAGACGAGCACGCAGACCACCAAGAGGACTGAGATGGAGAAATGGAGGTGAGTAAAGGAAGCAACTAAAAATAAAAACTTAGGCCCCATTCAGACTGAGACATTTTCTGTTTGGGAGAAATCCACTGATTTCAATAGAAGGATCTGACTCAGAAGGTTTAGGTGAACATATCTGTATTTTTGATGGAAATAGTTCAACTTTTGAAGAGACCAAACCTGTCCACTTGGCAAACTGGCAACCAATAAGTGACAAGTTTAACATTTCTCTGCCTGAACAGGGCCTTACACAAGGTCAAAAGAAGGTTTCAAAAATGTATGTGTACAAAAAACAGAGAAGAAAGATAGTGCACAAGTTTAACAGAAAGCTAGGGCAGGTTTCTCACCTTCTTTTACTGAGCCGGGCTCCAGGAGAAGGGGGGAAAGGATGACGAGGGAGCAGAAGAGAAGGGGATGAAGGGCAAGGAGAAACAGGAGGAATGGGGGAGTCGGTCAGAACATGTCTGAGAACCAGTGCAAATACAGAGAGAGAAAGAAGTGCAAAGAAAGTCAAAGACACTAAAAATTGATAAAGCAAAAAAAAAAAAAAGAGAGAAAAAGCAGGGAAAATGAAAAAGTTCTTAAAAGGTCGAGTTTGGAGACGGTGCGAGATACAGATTTTTATGAACTTGCAATATGGTTATATGTCTAGATGTTTATGGATGTCAAGCAAGAGAAGATCACTTCTTTGCCAGACGCTTAACCACTTAATATACTGATCCAAGACTGTAGTGTAGTTTATTACAACTCACCTACGTTTCCTGTGCCCTTTGACACTTAAGACCGTATCATTATACTCTACTAAACATGCACGACTGCTGTCACAGGTAAATTCCTGGTCATTCAAGATTCAAGTCTGCAAGTGTAGTTCCGTCTACATCACTTGATTACTTAGAGCGCTCTTTTACTCCCAAAAACTTGTACAACAGTTGTTGATCCAGGAAGATAATACAAATTGTTATATAGCAATTTGTAAAAATACCAATCTTTTTACAGCCATACAAAAAAAATAAATGACTGCAACCAGTGCTCTTGTTTTGTCCATCTCAACAGATATCACTTACTTGTTCTGATGTGGAGTGTCAGTGCTGACAGAGTAGTGTCGTACGAGTTTGGGCTTGTTCGCCGGGTCTTGTGGTGTGTGAATTAGTGTGTGCACCGGTGAGTGCTCGAGTACTGAGGAAGCAGCGGGAGGGTGGCTGAAGGTGTTGGCCCGTCGACGGAAGCCCTGTGCCTGAGCATCACCGGATAAAGAGGATGAGGAGGGAGACAGAGGGAGAGAGACGTCAAGCTGCTTCAAGTCCCCTGTTGAGTTGTGGCACCTGAAGAAATGACACAAGGCGTCACATTGTGTGGATGCAACACTGTGTATACAAAGGCAATGCAATCCCACACAAAAAGATCAAAAGAAAACTAAGTTTATGATATCTAGACTTCTAAGTCAAAGTCCAAAGCACCTCTACATACTTTTATTAGTGACTGTTTCCTAACACACAATTCTACACTTGGTTAGTTTAAAAACAAATAAAATACAGTGGAACCTTGGATTGCGAGTATAATTCGTTCCGGCAACGTGCTCGTAATCCAAAGCGCTCGTATATCAAAACGAATTTCCTCATAAGAAATAATGGAAACTCAGATGATTCATTCCACACCCACTTATCCATATAAAAGTGATTACAGTAATACAAAATACAGTATAAAGTAAAAATAAGACAAATTAACCTGCACTTTACCTTTGAAAAGAATCGTGGCTGGCGTGAGGGGCCATTGTTGCAGTACAGATAGACTATACGAGTGAAGCGCGAGAACCATCAGCTCAGTTGTGACGTACGTCACATGACGGTCGGCAGACAAAGCGTATGTACTACTCATATTGCGAGGCCTTGCTGTTATATCGAATCTAAATTTTTTGCTCATCTTGCAAAACACTCGCAAACCAGGTTACTCGCAATCCCAAGGTTCCACTGTATCAATTATAATGTAAAGTACTGTGCACTTTACACTTTAGGCACTTTAGCTGTTTAAGTGCTTATCCATCATTTCTATACTATCAGATGTGCATCTGATCAGTCCCAAACTCATTCTGCAGCATGACAGCAAGTACAAGCATACAGTCAGAACTAGCTTTAGTAACAAGAACAACAAGGAGTTGTGCAACAGATGGTTTCTCCCCACAGCACCGTGGTTTCTACATCATAGAGTCAGTCTGGGATTCCATGAAGAACAGAAGACACCGAGAAAGCCACTGAAGAACTGGGGGAAGTTCTCCGCAATGCTTATGACAGCCTACCTGCCAAATACTGTGATAAACACCCAAGTGTGGTCATACCAAACACTGATTTGATTTTGTTTCATCTGTTTGCTGTCGACTGTATGTTAGGTTATAAATAAAAACCCAACATAGACCTACTATCACAGTTTCACCCTTACCTCTAATCCACACTGAGCATGTTTTCTACAAGCATCTCACACTGCAGACAGAATTCCACTCTGTCAAATGTGTCAGTCCACACTAACTCCAACAGACATGTGTCTCAGACAAGCTTCAGGTCTATTTTTTCCTCTCTGCTGTATTGAGTGAGGTGGCATGGTGACACAGTGGTTAGCGCTTTTGCCTCACAGCAAGTAGGTTCCAGGATCGAGGGCTGGCTGACCTGGTACCTTTCTGTGTGGAGTTTGTATGTTCTCCCTGCTTCTGCGTGGGTTCTCTTCGTGTGCGCCTGCTTCCTCCCACAGTCTAGGTTGACTGGTGACTCTAAATTGCCTGTAGGAGTGAGTGTGGGTGTGTGTGGTTGTTTGTCTTTACGTGTGAGCCCTGTGATAGACTGGCGACCTGTCCAGGATGTACCTCGCCTCTTGCCCACAGCTGGGATTGGCTCCAGCCCTCTCACACACAGTCAGCTGAGCAGATGGAGAACAGTCTTGACTCCATAGTGCAACAATCAGGTAGTAATGGAGACTGTATGAGCAGTTCATCAAACTGCTGTTGAACAAGCAGAACACAGACTTGCAGAAATGTGTCATCTGTGGTGCTTGGCCTGTGGTCCACTCGCTGAAGTCCCTGTTTTGCCTCTAAACCAACAAGTGAAGTCCTTGTTATACCTCTAAACCAGGGGTGGCTAATTCCAGTCCTCGAGGGCCACTGTCCTGCTGGAAGATACCAATTCACTTTATCTTTCCTCTAAGATGGTATCTTCCAGCTTCTGACTGGCTGAACACACCTGAGCCAGGTAATCAGCAGCAGGTCAGGCAGGGATAGTTGGAAAACAAGCAGGACAGCGGCCCTCGAGGACTGGAATTGGCCACCCCTGCTCTAAACCAATATAAGTGCCTCTTTACACACTGTGCTTGTAATGCTAAAGATTGAGGTGTGAAGAGTGGACATTTAATCAACCACGGGCAACTGCTCTGTGTGCACGCACCCCCCACATTCTTGGAACTCCATTTTAGTACTACCTCCTGAGGGGTGCTGAGATTTAGCTCTCAGAACGCACCTCCAAAGTGGGCGGAGGGCATTGAAAACAAACGCAGAACCCGTGATGAGCGTTACTTGGCTCGACACCTTTCGGTGAATTCCTATAATTAAAAAACCCTCAAGATTCATGAACGATTGTGGCTCCTTTCAAAGCCACTTTAATTCCTGTGATCATGAAATTCAAGTAAAACAAACAGCAAATGCTCTGACACAACATCTGAGTCAGTGTGTAGGCATGTGTGATTACCTGAGCGGACTGGTGGGTCTCAGTTGGGTAGAAGCAGATGTGGAGTCATCTAAGCAGGGCTTGTCAAGGCTGCTGTTGACTGTAGAGGTGGAAGAGCTGCTGTCACTTCCTACACTGTTGCCCCTCTGAGTTCTGGCCTTGCTGCTTCCCTGCCATGAACACACACACCCAGGTTATGTACTGTATGTATCCTTGTACATGTAACCAACGACCACAAACAAACACACTATTTTACGAATCCTCATTTGTTGAAACATGTCTAAGTTTAAGATGTAAAGACTGGTAATCTTTGAAAACAAAAACAACTACCTCCACTTACGTGTTTACATTATGTTGCTATACTGAAATAAAAAAAAGAATAAAGTAATGACACAATCAAACATGCGCAAGTGCATACTTGTGCATAACTGCATACAAACTAAGAGAGAGGAGCACTGTCACCTTCCAGATGCCCTCAATGGACTCGGTAAGAGACCGCTTTGCTCGACTCTTGAACAGCTCAAGTCGCTGCCGACTGCTACTCTGCTGCTGTGCCTCCACTGGGGCTGAAGCTGCCTCCTCACACACCTGTAAACACATAAGTGAACAGCAGACAGAGAAAAACACAAGTTATATCTGTGCACATGGGCTTTATAAAATGTCTTTTTCCAGTTGTTGTTATGGAACTGTTGACACTTTGGAACAAATATAGGATAAGCCTATAAAAGGAAAGGAGTAATACAAGGACACAGAGCTGGGAGAGTACAGGTGAGTATTACTGTACTGTATATTCAAAAGGTACCCGTTTACTGTCCCCAGGCAGTGTGTGTTTATGGCTCTTTTGTCTCTCCTCATACAGCTTCCTCAGCAGAGCCATCACCAACTCATTCTCTTCCTGGTCGCTCTTAGGATGAGCCTTCTGAAACACGCAAACATAAGAGATGGAGAATAACATTATATTGCATGAATGTAGGGATACACTGTGCTGTTTAAGCAGGTCACTACACTAAAGGGAATCCTTCTTCAAGGTCAAGAATCTTAATATGGTTTAATGTGATGAAAAAAATGTAACAAGCTGGACAGGTAATTTGGACTACAACAAATTCTTTTACTTTGGGGTACCAAAATAATGGTTAAAACGCAGTTGGCTGGTACATATGCAAAGTCCTGTGCTAGCAGAGCCACATGCAGTATTGTTGTAGTGTTGCAGTTCATCTCCATTACCAGTAGAGGACAGCTCAGCCATATACAATATTTGAGGGCATTCGCCTCATGTTCTCTAACAGCTTCTGATAGTCTGCTTTTATTGTACAACAATATTTAGCAATATATTACATCAGTAATTCCAACAATTAAGATTATCAGTTTCCAGTGTTTAAATAAAAGTGCAAATTTAAACATTTCCACTGGTGTTGTTGGGAAGGGAAACTAAATAGTTTGAAGGGGGAGGCTGTGGCTCAGGAGGTAGAGCGGGTCGTTTCCTAACTGGAGGATTAGCGGTTCGATTCCCGGCTTGTCCATTCTACGTGTCAAGGTGTCCTTGAGCATGACACTGAACCCCCAGTTGCTCCTGGTGATGTCACTGGTGTGTGAATGCGTGAGTGCTTGGGAGTGCGAATGGGTGAATGGCCGAATAATGTGAAAGCGTTTTGAGTGTGCTGTAAAAGCATAGAAAGGCGCTATACAAGTATAAGACCAATTGCCAAATTATGAGCAAAGAAAGATGACTGCGTCACTGTAAATCCGATATGAATATCTTGTAATTCCACAGTGATTCAGTCTGGATGAACCTTGCTGAAATTGCAGACTGACAGGTTTGTTTTCAAAGGAAACTCTAGGAATTCACACATGCACAGACACATTACCATAGTGTTTTCAAAGACTGACGCTTGCTCCTGATTGTCGAGAGTGGCCAAGTGTCTCTGGAGCTCTAGTTTGGTCTGAGATGGGTGTAGACCTGAAAACAACGCAAATATAGTTTTAACATACGTTAACGACAGAACTAGTCTCACTTCTGATAAATCAGCAGCATAATATCTGCCATGTCCTTAAGCAACTGGGGTGTATATTGTTACAGTATAGCTAAATTAAAATTAAAGGCCTTGCTATTGGTTGTAAACATGTAAACATACAAAAACATGCTTAACTCAACATATCAACCCTGCATCAGTTTGAGCTCTGCCTTTGATACGACAAGGCGGAGTCTATGCCTGGCCATTCCTTATCTTTCAGAAGTTATGATCATATGAAATGTCAAGACATGTTCAGACAGGAAAACCTTACCATCCACAGTGACTCATACATCATGACAATTCTCAAACTATTTTAATAGCTGACTAAAGTTTAAATGCAGAACATGACCACAAATCATGTAATCTCAGGTCCTGCATACCCAAATTTGCCTGAAGGGGTTTTACAGTCTGTACAGGAAAAAGTCATCCCCACCCCCACCCCCCTAAAAAGGAAGAACTATCAAGATGAGCAACAACAAAGGGACCCTTCTTCCAGGACAGACAGACATGCAATAACCATGCAACAAACATAGTAAAATCACAGTATGGAATGTCAGTATAATAAAGTTACAGGTAGTTTGCAAGCATAAAGTAACATTAATGGGGCAGCTGTGGCTCCGGAGATAGAGCTGTCTCCTGACTGGAAGGTTGACGGTTCTATTCCTGGCCTCTCCAGCCCACACGTCAAAGCACCCTTGAGCAAGACGCTGAACACCAAAATTGCTCTCTATGATATCACTGGTGTGACTGGTATCTTATGAAGTAAAACACAATATCTGAAATGGCATGTATACTGGAGTACCACAGCCCAACTGTCACCAAGATTCTTTCTGCCTCACCACTTGTGCTGCTATGTGAGTCAGAAAGCTTTATAACATCTGTTTTGTGAGAGTTTTCTTTCTTTTTTTTTTTTAAGACAGGTGTCCAGCTGACTGGATCTCGCAGAACACATCTGAGTCAAACATCAAAATATTTAGTTTCAGCCTTTTGCCACTGCATTAAAACAGCTCATTTATTTAGCTGAATTAACATGGTATCTGAACAAATTGGCTTTTTTATTCTATTGTTATATATGGAATAGCTATGTAAATTATACCTATAAACATTATGTACATCTAGACTGCACTATAAATCTCCACTGATTTTCAGCCATAGTCTGTGAAGGAGCCCAGGGACAGTTGCCTACCTTCTATCCTCTCACATAGTTTGTGGAGCAGCTGCATGGGGCAGCTGTCACACTGCTGGCTCTGGGTCTTTGCATTCTGCTGCAGGGCTGCCACAGAAAATGTCTGCTTCAAAGTCAGCATGATCTCATCCACCTGCAGGAGAAAAATAATCAAATATCATACAACCTTCAATAATTTATCAGTACATTAAGTCAGATTTATTCACATTTGCTTCTTTTCAAAAGTGCATCCCCCTCTGTACTGCCCTACAAAACTATGCAGTGACTACACAGCCAAAATTTAGTTAAAACAGGAATCTGACTTGTTTTGAATTAAATATTTGCTTAAAATAAATTAACTACTGATATGTATATAAAAATTTTAGTACAAAGAAATGTATAACTTTGAAGGAAACATCTAAACACCAGACTCCAGAGTCAAAGCAACAGAGCCAAATTTGGCCAGCTGGTGAGATAGCTGAAGCAGCTGCCATCTTAAATATTAGAATGATTTTGCATAATTAAACCAGAGTTCAATCACATATCACATTTATTGACTGTAGTAATTCAGAATGGATAACTTTAGCTGACTGCAGCTAACTTGTACTGGACCTAGAGATGCTGTCAACAAGAGCGACAGACTGAAAAATGACTCCGCACCCATGTCTATGACGTCCTGTTCATCTCTAATACAATATACTCAGTCAGCATAAAAATATAATACACCCTTTTCTTTTAAGTTCTCAACTAACTTTTCTGTATTTACTGCTGTCTGTGTGGTAATACAGTGAACAACTGTTAGAACAAATTCATCCCACTCATCTTTCTTACATTTTAAATATTTAGCATCCATTCTGTTACTGTGCCTAGATCTATCGCAATTCAAGATAACTGTTAATGTATGTGAGGAATCTGGGTCTCTGCAGAATTGCTATGTGGTATAAAACTGGTTTATATAAAAACTGATCACTATAAAGACATACACCATATTTAACAAAGACAAAATATGCAGCTTTTCCCACAGATTGTCCAGTTTACTCTGGCAGCAGTGAAAGACATGGAATTATTGATGTTTGCCAGGTTCAGTGACTCATTATTTCAAGAATTATATATAGTATCTATCTATTATTAGGTAATCATACTGCAACATTAACTACAGTACATCCATCTAATGACCAAGGCTTTTCAAACTGACAGTCTATTTGGCTTGTGTCGGCACAGAGACACCATGATTCAATAGAGCACAGATGCCAGATGATTATTGTGCTCATTCATTGAATTAGAGCAGAAATTAGTCTTCACTGATATAAAACAACAATTCTAACAAATATCAGCCTCATGCATTATGGAAGTAAAATTTCCTTCAAATCAAATTTGTGAACTGTTAAATTAAACAGAGGGCTGATCAAACATGAACACTGAGTGACAAGCACTGATACAGAACCTTAAGGAAATGTGTTGCAGGAAATACACATAATGATCAACTGAGCATTGCATTCATATAAACAGTAATATAAATTTTAGATGTATACAAGTGTACTAAAAATGACTGAGTCAACTGAACAAACAGAAGTATGCCTGCATTATTTTCATAAACAATAAACGGAGGTGAGAATGCATGCAACACCATCGCACCAGTGACTCGTCTGTACACTGGAAGACGTAGCAAACAAAGTGGCAGCTCCCTCCGTCCACAGTCTCTCTGCAAATGAAGCCAAAGTGATCCACGTGCCGAATGCCCTGACAAGACATCAAAGACAAATTTTAAAATCACACACACAAACATACATATCCAGTATAGACAGTATGAAGAAACCTGGTGCTTCATACCTGTGAGCAGAAAGAGATTTCTCTGAAACTCTTCTCTATGGCAACCTTCTTAGTATCTGGACTAACCAAGAAGATCTGAGATCTGCCAACCTAAAACACAAAGAAAAATGCAAAGGAAATAGAGTTGAACAGGCTGTCTGTGATGGGGTTTGGGATGTGACAGTGATAATGAACCTCACAGGCCAACGCAGTTAAGGGCCAAGTCCCAATTTCTCACACTGAAATTTCAGCAACTTTTGATTTGTTTCACATGTTTAATGACAAGATGGCCTGTATCACAAATTTCCTTCTTAACTGTACTGCAACTTTAAAGATCAATTATTACATGATACAAAGGGCAGCCTAAAATATAATCCTTTCAGTTTTTTAACAGCTGAATCTGTTAACTAAAACACTTTTCATACCGATGAACAGAACGGTTCTGGAAACAGTTTCATACCGATGAACAGAACGGTTCTGCTTTAGGGAATAACCCAATTCACACCATCATTAGGACATGAGTCACCATGGCTTCTAAACCTTGAGAAGGGACTCAGCATTTCATTATAAGTAAGTGATCTCATTTCTGTTAAATCCTAAATCTTCAAGCTCTGTGACCACAGCTATTCTGCTCTGAACAAGTTCCCCTTCACTGTCCTTCTGTATTAAATACGAATCACATGATCCAAGTGTTTTTAGAGGATGGAGAAACGGGAGGCAATGATGTCACCAGGATGAAATAATTCATACTACCATCCATGGCAGCAGCAGGATGTATCATCTGTGTTAATATGTGCGCTGTATATGCTGAGG